CCTGCTCTAAGAATGTGCTTTAGGAATGTGGGCAAATATAGACTGACTTTCTGATGGGTTCTAGAAAAGGGTTCTGGCAGGAGAGGGGTGCTGCCTGTCTTAGGAAGCAAGGATATGTCCTCACTGACTTCAGCCTCTCTATGAACACAGCACTAAGTAAAAATTTAGAGAACATTTGGTATTAGGTTCAGTAATCTCTATTACAAAGGTAGGGGAAGTTGTTACTTTTCAGAGGTGTTTTACTGTCTGGCAATACATGACTGGAGCTACCCTGAGAGCCAAAATTACACACCAGTCACTCATTCAGAAGGTATTTGTTATTTACATCTTCTAGTGGCAGTAGAGACCTTTGGGATACCAGTATGAATTGATTCCTTTTATTCCATGCACACACATATGCATCCACATGTGACTCCCACATTAGCACCGTACTGTCACCACTTCATAAGGTGCCAACTTGAACATATCCAGGAAGAAAACACAAAATATCCTTGCTCCAAATCAGAATATCCCAAACAAGGTTTATCCACAGCATGTTTCTAGCTCTGGCATCTGGCTCTGATAAACTCGTTTCATCCCAGGTGCTAGTGAGATATTTATGGGCACCCTTAGTCACCAGATGATTTTTAAATATAAACATGGTGATTGTACAGTTTGATTCTACTGATGAAAATAAACTGCTCATTTTGGGATGGGAATACATTACTATTTTTAGACCAGTGGGGTACCACTTGACGAGGTCTTCAGCAGTGAACACTGCTTTCTATTTTAGGGTTAGGAACAGGGAAGAATCTACAGCTCCTTATGTTTTTGTATTTTGGACTTAAGAAAGAATGAATTATTTATTAAAATGTAATGTTTATTACTTTAATGTGAATAACTGATAAAAGGAATCTCTATATAATCGTGATTTTGGGGCATGAAGATTACAGTGCACTGGGGTATGAAGTAGGAATAAACAATGTCACAGTTGTTGCTTAAGCCAGAGAAGACACATTTCTCTCTTATACTGCTTAAAGGTGGAGCCTGTCAGTCTCTGATTCACCCAGAGACCTTGGATCCCAGACACAAAGCTGCTTGGCATGGAAGTCAGAACAGCCAAAAGAGAGTGTATGGCTCTGTTTGTTTGTAAGGCAGGAGCTGGAAAGCCCACCTGAACATATATTAAATTTGAGGTCAGCCTAACCTAAATACTGGGAACTTATCTTTAAAACAAAAGGGAAGGAAAGAAAAGGAAGTAGAAAAGTAGAACACACTTCTAGTGTATCTGAAGGCTCTGACCTAGTTAATGGTTGAATCTGTGGCTGGTTCCTAAGATGGTGGAGAGGTGCTGCTGAAAGGTAGGGGTTGGGACTTGGTTGGAAGAAGTTGGTCATGTGGACTGAGGATATCATTTTGGGTAATACCTTTCCCTGGCCCCTTCCCATATTCTCCATTCTGTGTGTGCTAGTGGGCCATTGTAATGTTCTGCAGACAGCTCCATCACCATGGTGTTCTACCCGACTGAATGGTTGCCAAATAGCCATGAATTGAACTATCTAAAACCATGAGCCCAAACCAATCTTTACTCTCTTATGTTGTTGTCAGATGTTTTCATTATAGCACCACAAAAGTGACTACTACTAAAAGTCAAGAGACTTTGGGGCCCCTTGAGCTGGATTTATGTGATTCACTTAACATGGCTTGTAATTATCTTGGACCTGAGCCAAGAGTTCAGCTTCCAACTTACCCAGAGAGTCAAGATGGGCCTTACCATCATGGCAGAGTCTTAAAGGAGCCAGGCTTATGAGAGTGTTAGAAGAGAAGAAGGGGTGCATGTCCTTTTGTGACCTGGAAGTCACATAGTGCCACTTTCACTGTGGTCAGAGCAAGTCAAAGGCCACCTGAATTCAAGGGAAGAGAGAATGAGCTCCAGCTCTCCATGAAAGAATTTGTAATTTGAATCTGCTCACAGCTGCAGCAGCATCTAGAGACACATGAATCTCACCGTGGAGTTTGTGAGAGGTGTGAATTGAATGTCAGTAAGTAGAGGTGTAAAATTCTTTGTTATTACTAGTCTTTGAATACTACAGTTTAGTTCCTGGACTGACATATTCTATTATATGAGGGCGTCTTGTATTTATAACTTTTCTACCATTACAGAAGTAGGTTTTAAACCCATGGTTATGTGCATGCTAAACGAGTGCTGTACATTGAGATACATAACCTAACCATTGTGTAATTTTTTTTTTCTTTTGAGGTAGCCTCTTACTTGCCTGTGTTGGCATTGAAATTATGCTGTAATTCAGGCAGGTCTCAAACTTGCCATCTTCTTGCTCTTTAGCTCCTTGTATAGGTAAAATTATAGGCCTGTCTCTATAATGTATTTTTGGAATATTAAAGACAAAATATTTCATGTGCATTTACATTTGGTCCCAAATGAGTTAGAAAGCCATAGAAAAGACCGGTGTTGGAGGGGGGGGGCGACCCACTACACAATAGCTGTGTCATTTTGGAATATGGAAGATGATACATAAGCAAAATTTAAAAGTAAACCACAAGTAAAAAAGCATTTATAACTTTAGATTTCATAATACTTTTTAAAAAGATATCATGAATTTAAATTTTAAACAATTACACTGAGTAAAGTATTTGTGATCTAAACAACTAGCAGAAGCCAGATGATACTGTCTAAATCTGGGTATTTATGAGGCTTAAATGAGATTAAAACAGCTGGAGAGATAGCTCAGTGAGTAAAGCACTTGTGAGAATCCCCCAGAATCTACATAAAAAACAGGCAGATATGATCACCAGCTGTAATCCCAGCACTTGGGAGGAAGACAGGGAAATCCCCTGAATAAGCAGGCTATCTAGACTATCTAGAATGAGTAAACTCTTGGCTCAGTAAGAGTCCCTGATTCAGTAAGCCAAGAGGAAAGCAATCAGGGAAGACATGCAATGTCAGCTTTGAGCTAACACAAGTACGTACGTACGTACATACATACATACATACATACATACATACATACATACACACACACACATATATGGTATGCATACACATACATAAGAAAAATGAGAACATGTGTCCTGAATACTGAATAGATATGTATAGATGCATTCATGAAGGGTATCTGTAAATTATTTTTAGGGATGGCTGATAGAAAGGGGGCATAAAGGAACAATTCTTGAAATGACATTAAATAACCAATAGGAAAAATATTTAGGCCAAGTCTTGATTAAATGATTAAATAATGAAGACTCTGGCGAATTTCTCCCAACCCCATCTATAAAATTATTTCAGATGAGAAAACATGATACAAGTAAAGTACTGCTAAAGGTAGAGGACATTGATACCCTCTATTTCCTGCTGGTGGTGGGACTGAAAATCAGTACAGTATTTAGGGAGAGCCTTAATTACTGACCAATCCGCACCTGTGGACAAGCCAGCCTGAAAGTAGGAAGCTAGATGTGCTGAAACACTTTTGCATGAACAGCCTTTTGTACAGGAATGCTTCAGCAAAATCTGACCAGTCTTCACGGTGTGATGTGGAGCAATAAGGTAGCTTAGTGTAGAACCAGGAACATTGGAAATGGAAGGAGAGAATAGAGCAGGTTTCATGGTTTATGTTTCTGATTCTGTTATTAGAAAATATTATAAAAATGAAAATATGATTAAAGAAGACACTTTTGTAAGCAAATATACCACAAAACTATTGTTTTTGAGAGACTATTATAAGGCTTCGAGTACATAGTAATGGCATTGAATCTTAGAGGATGACTGTATGAATGCTAATTAGGTAGAAATTAGGAAAGAAAATAGTCAGGGCATTGAGTTACAACAGTGGAGCAAAGCCAGTTGTTAACATTACTTTCCCTACATAGGCAGTAATAATCTCTAATGTTAAATTTTAATATGCTTTCTACAAAATTGATGATAGAGTAACATAGTAAGTGAAAATTTTTAATCTTGTATCTCTCTTTTTTATTCTTTTTCTTTTTCAGAAATTAGCAGTGGAAAGGGTTCCAAACAAAAATATTTTATCAAGTAATATTTTTGATGCTTAGGAATTTTTTAATATATTACATTTGTATTTACTCATTTATTTATTGTTACTGGTAGTGGTGTGTGTATATGTGCACGTTAGAGTATGCCTGTGGCGGTCAGGACAACTGGAGGAAATCAGTTCTCTCTTCCACCCTGTGAGTCCCAGAGCTTTAACTTAGGCTGTCAGGCTTAGCAGCAAGTGCCTTTACCTACTAAGTCATTTTATTGGCATAAACCTTAAAGGTTTTTACTGATCAAGGTAAAAATTTTTAATCAAAACAAACTTCCTCATGTGTGGAAAAGCAGTTTCTGTTACTTCAAGGTAAGTAGTTTGAGTGGCTAGGGATATAGCTCAGTAGTAGAGTGCTTGTCCATATGTACAAAGCCAACTAAACAAGAAAAAGGATGAATAGTGTCAACCCAAGGAGGTATCTATAATGGATATTTTTATACATGTAGGTCTTTAAAATATCTATTTTTTAATACCTATAAGTGTTTTATATGTTTCTGCCCCATATGCATGTCTGGTGCCCTTACTGGCCTAAAGAAGGCATCAGACCCTTTGGAACTGAGTTACAGGCAGTTTTGACTGCCATGGGGATGCTTGGAATCAAACCCAGTTTCTCTGCAAGAGCAGCGAGTGCTCTTAACCATCTCTGACCCCAGATGTATCTCTTCAAGGCTAAGTAAAAAGTGGGTTGGTGGAGTAGGAGTAACTGAATGTTTTTTTGACTTTGGTTATAAATGGGGTTTATATTACAATTTTTATGTTTAGAAAGAATCTGAGCACCAGCAAGAACCAGTGTTTGCTTATGGACACTTCAACCTCACTCTGGTATCCCACACATCCTAACATAGTTGTCCTTCACTGTGTAGATCACATGTTTTCCTAAGTAATGGCTTTTATGCAACTCAGTTTTATATAATGATTTTCCCCCTTTGGTTTATTTTACCCTCCTTGCATTTCCTACAGAAGCCCTGGAGGGGATTTGGGAGCAAAAAAGAAAAAGAAGAAACAGAAGAGAAAAAAGGAGAAGCCGAATTCTGGGGGTACCAAGTCCGACTCTGCATCTGACTCCCAGGAGATTAAAATTCAGCAGTCTTCAAAAGTGAGAGCCTGTTTTCTTGCCACAGCTGCTGTTTACTAATGCAGAAGAGATGGGTTTGGGCAGAGTAGTGCCCTTAGGGCTAGATGTGTGTAGCTAGTGATTCATTTGGCTGTGTGTTGAATGGCACAAGTAACTGGAGGGTATTAACAACAGCCTCTCTGAAGCTCACTTTGACACTCACATAACCAAGAAATACATACTGTGTTTCTCTGTATGTGTGTAGCCACCTCATTTCTCCTTCTCTGTGTAGTAGTAAGTAGATCCATAGTCATAGAAGAATGTCTCCCTAAGAGCCTGGTAGGCATTTTTGTTTTGTTTTGTTTTGAAGTTACACTTAATCTGTGATTACTTTTAGTTCAGAAGATATTCACATTTTAATTTTTCTGGGTGTCTGTCTAATTACCTGCATAGCACAACGCCATCTGGCAGCAGATTTCAGCGGGAGCAGCCATGGGTAAGTCTTCTGTTGACTTTGAATCAGCCTGATTTGCAGTGGCCATCCCTCATGCCATTGCTAAGGGTGGGGAACATCTCCTCATGTTCTCCCTTAGGACACCCCTATTTTAGACCAAACTCGATGTTCATCTGGGTCCCATGTTGGCAGATAGCCTGCTGAACAGAGGGCTAGTTGTCCTGTATACAGTTATGGTGATATAGTGACCTTGTTTGTGGAGATCCCTCCTTCTTGTCATGCAAGAGAGCACAGCCCTGGTGGTGCAGGAAACCAGAGTGAAAGGAGCTGAGTAGAAAATAACAAAAAAGATGACTTTGATAGTTGTAGCTTCAATTAAATCTTTGTGGGCAAGTAGCACCAAGACCTGGCATGTGGCTTTGACTCCTTTACTCACAGTGTACTGTATATCTTTGAGCTTGTTTGCTTATCCTGGAAAGCCTATTTCCTTTTTCCCAGTCCTAGGGCTGCCATGAAGTTAAATTATTTTTAATGAAGGTTGCTTTGTTTTCTGAAGTACATCACACATGGCTGGAGGCAGCACCTACAAGTTTTGTGGATTTCAGCTTTTTAATATGAAGTTTATATTATAAATCAGTCTATGGATGTTTTTGTTGTTAGTACCTGCTTTATGTGAAAGGACCAGGAGTCTCTCTGAAGAGTAATGACTTGCTCCAGTTTTGCCCTGAGTGACTGAGGGAGAGAACAAAATTGAGTCTTTCTCTAGCTTTCCTCTTGGTCTCAGGTGATCAGTGTTCCACTAGACACAACTTCCAAGGTCTATCAAGAAACCACCATCAGCTTGCAAATATTTTCTTGGTGTTGCTTCAGCAGATAAATGCATCACTTACCTGCAGTTGTGGGCAGCTCTTTGCTTCTACCATGCCATTGGCTTTACCCATCCCTTTACTCTCAAGGATTCTAAGCACTTCACCTCCACTCTGGGCACTGCAGCCAACTGAGTGGGAGGACTACTGCTAGTGTATATAGTAGAGTTTGTTTTTTAAGCATTAGAAGCTAATGTTTAATAAAACAGTGTTTTAATGTGGGCTTTTGTCTACTGTATTTTTTTTTAAAAGTTGGGGTTTCTCCTCCTACAGCCCTCCTCTGTAAATATATGCCAGCTATAGATAATGCTGTACTATTACAGTGGACTGTATTTAGAGAATTATCTGGTCTATATCAAGGATTAAAAATTAAAATATCTGTCTGTATTCTTAACAGATTTCAATATGTGAGATTGAACCCAGGGCCTTGTGCCTGCCAGGCAGGCACTTTACTGCCTGAATCACAACCCCAGCCCTTTCTTACAGACATTCTAGTGGCAGAAGACTTGGACAGATTTTTTTTCCTAAGGTATTCAATTTAGAAAATAATGGGCAAAGAATGTAGCTGATACTCAGTATTCTTTAGGAAGCAGTTACGGAAAGAAAGAGGAATTCCTACCTCTTAGGTAAGAACATAATAGTGGACAGTTAATTGGGGGCTAATGCACATTCTCGCCTTTCTCCCCAGGTGGTGATACTATGGAAGGTGAATGGATAGATTTAAGAATGTATCATAAGGTGAGCGTGGTGGCGCCCGCCTGTAATCCCAGCACCCAGGAGGCCTAGGCAGGATGATTGTGAGTTCGAGGCCAGTCTGAGCTACATAGGGAGTCCTTGTCTCAAAAAAAAAGGATAAATCCTAAGGCTGGGAGTGTGGCCAAGTGGTTGAGCATTTACCAACCATGGTGTGCAAGGTTTTGCATTTACTCCTCTGCATCTCAGAAATAATCACAAAGTTAAAAAAAAAAAAAGATTCACTGTAAATGTCCTTATTTTGACATTATAAGTTTGAAAATTGTACTTATTTGCACCTGTTTTTAGAAAGCACTTAAATAGTGAGCATTGGGATTTAAATGTGTCACAAATGGCCATTGTAAGTCAGCCTGGTAGGTAGAACATACAAACTACTTTAGGGTCTTCCTGGACCTGGAGTATCATTGCCTCCTTCAGAACCAAGATGCTGTTTCATGAGTATTGCAAAATGGTTTCCTTTTGATGTGTCTTGGAAGATTTAACTGTCAGAAAAGAAACTTTACTACAGCAAATTCAGTACAGGCTCTGTAGACAGGTTTATTTTTAATCCTAGATTCTACTTTGATTTTCAAGTCAGGTTAAATGAATCTTCAAGTATTATTAGTTGAAATATGGTATAAGCTTGTTTCCTGTTGTAGGTCTCTTAGTGAACTGGGTTGAAATTTCAAGTGGTTATTAACTTTCTTATCTTAGAAATCAGTTACTTAGGGCTGGAGAGGTTGCTCAGCCATGAAAGGCTAGGCTCACAACCAAAAACATAAGAAATCAGTTACTTAAAGTGTTAGAAAATAAAACCAGACCCAAGTTTTTTAAGGCAAAAAAAGTTTGAATTAAAACTAAGCACGTCACATGACATTATAGTTTTGAAATCAACAGGCCAAAAGAACAACTGGAATTAAAACAAATTATATACATCAGCTAAGAATAGCTAGGCACACATATTTTGTTGTTATAATTTCATCATATTTGAGTATTTGTGATTAGTAAGATGAACAACATGGCAGAAAAAAAATGCAGGCTACGTGTTATGGTTCATGCCTATAACAGTTCTTATTTGAGCAGTTGATATAGGAATACTACAAATTCAAGGTCAGCCTGGGCAGCTTAGTGAAACCCTGTCTCACATTAATTTTTTGAAAGGCTGAGACTATGCTCAGTGGTAGAGCATTGCTTGTCTAACATGTATGTGGCTCTGGGTTCAGTTCCTAGTACCACTTCCAAAAGTGAGAGAAGGGAAGGAGGAAGAGGAGAGAGAGAAGGAATGCAACAATTAGAACAGGAAAGTAGTCTCTTTTATTTGTGTCATTAAGATACAGCCCTATGTTTAAAAACAGCTCCCAGACTCAGCAGTGATAGAGTTGTGTTGAGTGGAGGCAGTAAACTGTTGGCCTGCTCCAGTTAGACTTCATAGCTTTGTCTACTAGATAATTTCAGTGTCAGGAACCTAAAGAAACCCAGTAAATAAGGTTGCCACAGGGCAGCTTGTGTTTCTTCCAACCACTTCAAAATCCTAATAGAAAGCATTATTTGAATGGTATCAAAATCCTTAAACTCGGTTGTTTTACATATTGAGGGAGGGCACTGATTTCTGTATCAAATCCCAGGTCCAGTGTCTTCATTCTTAACATTTGAAGAATTAAATAGACAGGGACTGTGCAAAGAAAAGCAAGGATATTGGATTTGAGAAGAGAATTTAAAAGTACTGCCCACTTTATAGATTAGAATACATTTTACCTAAAAATGAGGCTAGTTTTCCACACTTCAGTTGGGAGAACATGCAGACATTGCCAAGGATCATGATTTGCAGAAAAGCTTCTCTTCTGCCTTCTGTCTCAGGGTTCCTCTAGTATGAGAAGGGCTGGGTGTGACACAGGAGGGCACAGTAACAGGGTTAGTGGTTTCTTCTTAACCATTTCCTTCCCAGCATAGTCCTAAGGTTCTCTTTCTTTTTCTTCCCCTTTCCCTTCTAATCATCTCTTGTCTGTCTAGATTCTGTTCTAGAAGTTGTTTCCTCTGCCCCTCCATTGCTGCCGCAGAGCATTAACGCTAACAGCACAACCGAGGCTCCTGGCTGCCTGGCTGCTGTGTGACAGTAATGCATGCCCTGCATGTCACTCTTTGCCTTCTTTTCTCAAAGGAACAGTGGGACCGGCACAGATGGGTGGGATCCTGAAGCAAAGGGTGCTTTTGTGTACTTAGTGTTCCCAAACCACCAGAGTCCCATTGAAACTGCAGCACAGTGGTAATCTGCAACAGTGCAGTTGTTTTATCTCCGTATATTCACAGACAGCCTGCAGCAGGCTTCCAGGAGGTGGGGCAGTTTTTAGGAGTTGCCGCCACTGAGGCCAATACACAGTTATCTTGCGTTTGAAAGTGGTAGCAGTTTCCTCACATCATATGTCTCTGTGTCTCTGCTCTTATAGAATCCCACCATCCCTATTCAGAAGCTACAGGACATCCAGAGAGCAATGGAGCTACTGTCTGCATGTCAAGGCCCAGCCAGGAACATTGATGAGGCCACAAAGCGCAGATACCAGTTCTGGGACACACAGCCAGTGCCCAAATTGAGTAAGCTCATATGCATGCTTCCACAACCCAGGATGAAGAGACCTCACTTAGTCTTGTATCGTACACTCAGAATTAACACAAAAGCTAGTATCTGCATTCTTAAAGTAATACATACTGCTAGGTAGGGACATTTGTTTTCAGTAACACTGATAGTAGCCTAATTGCTGTTTCTGTTACATTATCCAGTTATCTCATATTAAAATGTGTATTATATATTATAATTTCCTATTAAACTTTCCTATATGTATGTGTGTAACATATAACACATTGTATACTAAAATATGCTGTATATAACTATATAATATCCTATAGTATAACTAATTATAATATATATAATATATAGCCTACATATATTGTACAGAAAGTTGGATTTTTTTCTCTTTATTCTTGATCTTTGCTTCTGATCTTCATGAAGATTTTTTCCCTCTAAATTACTGTATTTTTAAGATTTTAAAATTTTTATTGGATGCATATGACTGTTTTGCTTGCATGCATGTATGTGAACCGTATTTATTTTTGGTGTCTGTTCTTCTGGAGGCCAGAAGAAGGCAATGGACCCCCTGAAACTGTAGTTAAAGGTAGTTGTGAGGTACAATGTGGGTGCTGAGAACCAAACTTGGGTGCTCTGCAACAGTACCTCTGAGCTATCACTTTAGCATCCTCCTCTATCTCCTATTACATTATTATTATTATTAGCATTTCTTATACCTCAAGTATTCTATAGAACTCAGAAAACTTCCCTAAACTATCTCACTAAATGGATAATTGTGTAATTCTTATCAGGATTCTGAACACACTCTAGTGCTGTATCAGTTCAGTATCATATGGGAGTTAGGTGCCTTGAAAGTAAAAAGGCCATGTAGAGAATTAGAATCTTGATCTTAGGACCAGGCTTGCTCCATCAAATTCCACTTAAGACTTTTCTCAGTTAGTTAACTTGCTATAGATGTAATAATTGTTTCTCTTTCCCATTTTGCAAAGGTGAGATTATAAATAATAATATGAAAGTGTTCAAATTACATTACAGTATAAATGTCTTATTTTAAGTTCCAATCAGCATAGAAAGAGTCACTTGCCCTCTAAAACTCTTAAGAAGCAAGCAGCCTAGCTATACACAGATAATCTGAAGAAGTAGAAACAGGAAGATCAGAAGTTCAAGGTCATCATGTGCCAGATAACAAGTTCAAGGCCAACCTGGCACACACAAGACACTCCCCTCAAATAGTAGGAGAACCCGGAAGTCACTGGACTATAATACAGACTACATGGCTAGCAGTAAAGGTAGTATAGTAATTTGAATGTAATTGGTCCCCATAGTCTCATAGGGAGTGGCATTATTAGGCAGCGTGGCCTTGCGTGTGGTCTTGTTGGAGAAAGTATATCACTGTGGAGGTGGGCTTTGAGGTCTTATTTATGCTCAAGATACTGTCCAGTGTCTCAGACTACTTACTGTTACCTATAAGATGTAGGACTCTCAGCTACTCTCCAGCACCATGTCTGCTTGTATGCCACCATGTCCCAAACCATGATGATAATGAACTAAACCTCTGAATTGTAAGCAAGCCACCCCAATTAAATGTTTTCCTTTGTAAGAGATGCTATGCTCATGTTGTCTCTTCATAGCAATAGAAACCCTAACTAAGACAGGTAGGTAGGGAGAAGTAATCAGTTTAGAAATTTGTGTTAGGTTTTGCTGCTGGGAGGGGTCAGAGATTATTTTGGCCTCCATCCTCAATTTGTAGAAATGAAATATAAAGGAGAGAGACCATTTATAAAGCTGTTCTATCAAGCCTGTATCTCTTACAGTGGTGGTGGTGGTGGTGGTGGTAGTGTACTGCAACCTAGGGCTGAGGCTGAGACATCATTTTATATTACTAGGTGATATCAGTTCCTCCTTTGCTTTAACTGGTAAAATGACAGTCCAAAGGAATCGACAATAATAATGTGTTAGTTCTTAGTACATATGATTATGAATAATGTTATATTAATACCATTCTATAATAAAGCATGAACTAATGTAGCTGCTACTAGCATTTCTATTAATTGGATTATTTTGAGCCCAAATGTCCTAAATCCGAAAATATCCTTTAACTTCTGTTGCTGTTTGGTATTGTCAGACTACTGTGAAATGTAATATACTCTCTCTTTTATTTCTTCTCTAGACGAAGTCATAACATCTCATGGTGCAATTGAACCAGACAAGGACAATATCCGCCAGGAACCATATTCTTTGCCACAAGGTTTTATGTGGGACACTTTAGACTTGAGTAATGCTGAAGTGGTAAGACTTTAATTCAATACCTGCATTCACAAACATTGTGTGTAAGGTACACCTTAGAGAATACCCTTGTTTTGTCTTGTAGCTGAAGGAGTTGTATACATTGCTGAATGAGAATTACGTGGAAGACGATGACAATATGTTCCGCTTTGACTATTCACCTGAGTTTCTCTTGTGGTATGCCTGGCTGGTTATGGGCCATTAATGGATTGTTAAATCAAGAAGTCTTTTGTTTTTGTGTTCTTTGAATACTAACTGGTATGTTTCTTTTCTCTACCACAGGGCTCTGCGTCCCCCAGGATGGCTTCTACAATGGCACTGTGGGGTCCGAGTGTCTTCAAATAAAAAGCTAGTAGGTTTCATAAGTGCCATCCCAGCAAACATCCGAATTTATGACAGGTATGTGTTAAAGCCTGTGTATGTGTGTCTGTCCTCCAAATAATAATTAAAACATGCTTTTAAAAATTAGACAATACAGAGCTAGAGTAACAGAGTTCAGTAAAAATGCAAACATGAGTGTAAATGGAGTTCTTCATTGGTCTAAACAATAAAAGCCCAAAGTCAGATACAGAGGAAAATGCTGAGAGATCAGAGAAAAGGAGGAGCAAGCCATAGCCACCTTTATCTCATTAGCTTCCCAGCGGAAAAGAGAGTGAGTTCCTGTTTCTTCCCACTTATATCCTCTCTCCACCCAGCCACCTCACTTCTTCTCTGTACAGACCTGCAGACTTCTATGGTTAGCTAGTGGCAAGCTCCATCCTCTGATCTTCAGGCAGGCTTTATTTGTTCAAGCGAGATATCACCACAAGTCAGGGCCTGAGGTTGGATCCCCACCACCCATATTAAAAGTCATGTACTATGTATGAAACATGGAATTGGGAGATTAGAGGCAGGAGGAAGAGGGCTGCCAGGAGCTTCTTGATTGACCAAGTTACTTGAATCAGCAATCTCCCGGTTCAGTCCTGCCTCAAAAAAAAAAAAAAGAGTTGTGGAGAGCCATTGAGAGACATTAGATGTTTACCTTTGGCATTGCCAGCTTGTGCTATATAGTAAAATTCTGACTCAAAAAACCAAAGGACAAGATATTTAGCTCAATTGTAGAGTGCATAGTGTATAGGTGTGTATAGCATGTGTATAGGTGTGAGTCCTGAGTGTTGATAGTAAGATTGCTCAGAACTGTTTAGGAGCTCTTTATACACTTACGATGTAAATCTAAAAATTCTAATAGTTTTGTTTTTTTGTTTGTTTGTTTGTTTTTGTTTTGTTTTGTTTTTAAGGCAAAGGAAAATTTGTGCCAGTGATGAGAGGACAGTGCTGTCTGTCCTACACCTCACTCCACTTTCCCATCCATCTTCTTTCCCTGTGTATTTTTAATTTTTTTACTTTGTCTGCCTCTCAATGTCATACATGCACACACTTGTATTTGTGTATCTATTATGTACGTAGAATTAAAGCCATCAACAGGTATCCCTGGAAAAAAAAATTAGCAATTTTAAAGGAGATTATAAACTCTCTCCAGAAGATAAATGTGTTATATTTTTACCTCAGATGATCAGCCCCAAAAGTCAGATATCTAGCTATTGAAAACCAGAGGCCTAATAGCTAATGTACTTGTTTAGCTGACTGATAAAAACCTGTGCTCTCAAGAACACTGATTTAAATAAAATACATGCATACCTCCAGTCAGAACTGAGCTTTGAAACTCTGGGAGACTATAGTAGCTTGGAATGGTGTCAGCTCTGATCTTATCAAGGCCCTTCTCTAGGAGTCTTGGGGAATCTGTCATGTATGGAACAATACCTTGTGGGGTACTATTTAGTTGGGTTTTGTTATTGTTGTCTGTTTTTGTAACATGAAAAAATAAATGACCCAGAGACTGATATTGGGGTTCAAGCTCCAATTTAATATCAGAAAAACAAAGCAGCTGGCCACTAGCTTCTTACCTGTATCTCAGGCTGAACCTCAGACTGTAACCTCTCTCATTGTGGCTGGAGAATGAATACCTCTCAGAGATCTTATCTTATATACTTCCCTGATGTTGGAATTAAAGGTGTGAGCTATAATTCTCTTTTAGACTCATTCACTCTTGTGCAGATCTGGGTGGCCTTGAACTCAAAAAGAGTTCAAGGCTATCTCTTAATCTTGAGTCCTAGGATTGAAGGTGTGTAAACCACTTCCTAGTTTCTGGCTGCTGGTATTAAAAGTGTGTGCCTGGCTTCTATAGCTTGTGACTGACTTTGCTTTTTTGAATCCTCAGGCAAACTTTAATAAATCATTAAAAAATATATAACTACAGGTTTTGGTGGGTTTTTGTTTTGTTGCCATAATTATATATGTTACTGAAAAAAACAAATATATGAACACTTTTTGAGGCATATCTGATCCAACATCTAAAATTATAGTAATAGGCCAAAGTTTTAAATTCTGATTGAGATCAAGGAAGCCAAGTCTCCCTGGCCTAGAGTTGATCATTTTGACAGTGGGTATAGAAAATGGTGTCTGGTTTGATTTTTGTGAAATACCTACACAATGCAGTATTTTTTTTCTTGAATATTATGTTTTGGAATGCCTTTCTTGGTCCAAGTCTTTGGGACTTTCTGAAAGTGTTGCCTTGCTTTTTTTAAGTGTGTTCTAATTGTCCCATCTGTTTGTCAGTGTGAAGAGGATGGTGGAAATCAACTTTCTTTGTGTCCATAAGAAACTGAGATCAAAACGGGTAGCCCCAGTGTTAATTCGAGAAATAACTAGAAGAGTGAACCTAGAAGGAATCTTTCAGGCTGTGTATACTGCTGGAGTAGTTCTTCCTAAGCCTGTGGCCACATGCAGGTAATAGCACCACACAGACATCAGAAGTTTCCCCTTTCCCAGATGTGATGGTTCTTAACTACCATCTTGCTAGAATTGCTCTCCGCTGATATAATCCACAGGGATTGGGCTTGCTGGAGATAGTAGTTTGTTAGAGACAAAACTGGAATCATTGAGTTCAATATTCAATATATCATGAAGTCCTCTTGGGCATTAAAAGTAAAATTTACCCACTAATAATGCTGGATTTATGTTTTTATGTCTGCTCCATTTGATGTGACTGGGGAAACCTATAGTTTTGCAGAAATGCCCATCCAGTGTCACATTGTTTCCTTTCAGCATCTAAACTCAGTTTTCTTGCAGCACTGCTGAATGGGACATGTTCAGAAGTTCAGGTTTCTTGTTGGATAAGAAAGAAGGCTTGAACTGTTTTTAATGACTTCATAACTAACCAGGCTTTCAGAGGTTACTCCAGAGAGAATGCAATCAGACTGTTAATTGGTTTAACCTGCTTTTAAGACGTCACAAAACCAATCTCCCACTACAATATCTCTTGTCTCAAGTAAGATGAAACTTGAAATGAATATAATACAAAACCAAAAAATTGCTATAACTTACTAAATTACTACTTTAGTAAATAAGCAGAAAAATGGGCATCGTGGGTATATTTCAGTACACATGATGTATAACTGGAATCATATAAATTCAAGGATTTTCTCAGAATTAGTTTTCTTGGATGGTAATCTACTATAACAGATACTGTTTATTTTATAGGAATATTTTCATGATCTTAGACTTCTTTACTTGGTTTGCTTTACATAAAATCGGGAGGCTCATTTAAGATGTACATACTTGTTTTATTAAATAAAATAAAAAATATTAAAAATTTATTATTCAGGGGAAGAGATAAAAGTCCACAAACTCTAAAGGGACTTAACTAGCAATGCAAGTAAATTTAATGAATCAGTTTTTTTTCTTTTAGTCTTCAAACAAATTAATGCATAGGAAAGGGTCAGCGTCACCAATGCTCCTGGTACAGTGTAAGTATTAATAGATGCTTCTGGAACAGCTAAGACAAAGGGAAACTTCCATTGTCTTCCAGGTATTGGCACCGATCCCTAAATCCCAGGAAACTGGTAGAAGTGAAATTTTCTCACTTGAGTAGAAACATGACCTTACAGAGAACTATGAAGCTTTACAGACTTCCAGATGTAAGTAAGAGGCATGTGTAGCTTTCTGAGTCTGTAACCACTGACACTTTTAATGTAGAAGAGCATTATTAATGTCAGACTGATGCTGCAGTGCTTTTTTCTGGGAAAGGAGAAGGCCATAACAAGAACAGACTGTGTAGGACTCAGAGCTAGGAAAGTGGGGAGTTTACTAGAAAAGTTTTGGTTTTTGACCTTTTTAAGTTCAAGGGGTTAGGGTTGTATATGATTAAATACAAGTCAAGGGAGTTTGGCATTTTTGAGTGTTTGTTGCCCCTTAATGAGGGAGAAAGGTCCAGGCTCTACCCAACTACTTTCTAATTTTAATTGTTAGTATTTTTGTTTGTGTTTCAGAGACAGGGTTTCTCTGTGTAATAATCCCGGCTGTCCTGGAACACTCTGTAGACCAGTAGCCTCAACAGAGATCTGTTTGCCTCTGCCTCCTGAGATTAAAGATGTGCACCACCACTGCTGCTTGGCTTTTTTTTTTTTTTTTTTTTTTTTTTTAACAGTTAGTTTAAACCAGTCACAGTGACACGCTCCTGTAATTCTAGCACTCAGAAGACTGAAGCAGGAAAATAAAGAATTGAAGGCCAGCCTAGGTTACATAACAATACTGTGTTTTGGAACTGGAGAAATGGCTCAGCAGTTAAAAGCATTGGCCTCTACATGATAGCTCATGGCCATCTGTAACTCTGTCCTCTTTAGGTGTCATATACTATACACAGTGCACAAAAATACATGCAGGCAAAACACCCATGCACATAAATAAGTGATTGAAAAATATTTGTCCTGCCTAAACAAAACACCATGCACATTGATTTTCATATATGTGTCTTGAGGAGCAGGCACCACTTAACTGAATCTTCTGCTTCTAGCCATCTGGTTGTCAGCAAGACAAGAGTTTTATAAACATTGCCTGGGGAAAGATCCATTTCTCAGCTCATAGGGTTGTTGTAAGGATTGATATACCTTCTGGCTGGTGGGCTGAAAGCCATTTTTGCTTGTCAGTTGCCACAGACTGTTCTCAGTTCCTTGCCACAGGGTCTTCTCCACAGGGCAACCCATAGCCTGGTAGCTTATTTACCTCAAAGCTAATAAGGGCCATTTATAGAATGGAGGTGTGCCAGTAAGATGAAAACCAGAACCCTATGCAGCTAAGTCCTGAAAGAGACCTCCAGTCACTACTGTTGATTGGTTAGCAGCAAATGACAGGTCCCTCTGTGCCCCATTGGAAAGTTCACACCAGGCATGGTCTCTAAAAACTGGACTGTCCAGACATTTTTAGCTACCAATAAGGTCTTTGAGTTGATGTTTTGCTAAACTCAATTTTTTCATCAAGAAGGAATTCTGCACCACATTAGTCTCCTGGGTCTCTATGTTAGGCACAAAGCAATCTAGCATATATGCAAGGAAAATACTCAACCTACATGGAGGTTGCCTAAAATGAAACAAAGGAAAGGCAATTCTATTACCTATCCCAAGTTTATTCGGGCTAATAAAAGTATAAGGTACTGAAAGACTTTGGTCTAACTTGGCCTTTAAATTTTTTTGTTCAAAAATGCCAGGCTTTTGTTCTAAAAGCAGACTTTGGCATGTTCCTTACAGTTGGCAGGATTCCTTCTGTAGCAGTCATGTCTTCAAAGTGTTGGCTTTTTTTTTTTTGAGTGAGCTTAGGTTTACAATGTGCTTTTACATATATGATTCAGTTTATTCTCACAACTTCAGAAGTTAATACTTCTTATTCCTGTCATACACATGAGAAATTAGGCTTAGGAAGGTTGACATGTAGCCCAGGCCATAAAACCAAGGGTAAGACTCTTGATATCCCGTACTTAAAAGATTTTCATTATACCTCTTTCCTTATGCTGCTTTCTCTCACACACCCCTTAAGGGTACCATGGCCCAGGCCCACAAGGTGGCCTACTGTGTACCTATTACCATACACATGAGAACAGAAAAGAATAGTTATCTGTGACATGTTCTAAGTATCTTTCTTCTTTGTTGGGTGTTGGAAAGAGGAATTCAGAGTAGTCTAGCTTCATTCTATTGCTGCGCAAAAGCTCTGGCCAGAAACAGCTTTGGAAGGAACGGGCTTCTAGGTCACAGTCCATCATTGAGGAAAATTCTTGCAGGAACTTGAAGCAGGAATGAAGTAAGACTCATACAGGAATGCTGCTTACCAGCTCACTCTGTGCCTTACGTTCAGTTAGCTTTCTTAGCCCAGACTAGCCTCCCCAGGGATAGTGCTGCCCACATCAATCATCAATCAAAATAATCCCTCAGAGTTATAGATGCAAGCCAACATGACGTGGTAATTCCTTGGTTGAGGTTCCCTCTTCCTGGGTAACTCTGGGTTGTGTCAAGTTGGCCATATAAACCAATTAACATAGTAGTTGATAGAAAAATAGGGAAGAGAGCAAATGAGATAAAAATACAGAAAATAGAAAATTGAAAGATGCCAAACAGCAGTTACCCTGGTGCCTCTTGATTAAAGATAGATGGTATAGCTGCTGACAGTCAAGCAGCTTGTACCAATCAGCATAAGGGGGGCCTTCTGGGATGTAACTTTTGCTCCATGGCTCTTTTTTATTTTTACCATTATCATTTTCTTATAGTTCTTGTTTTTGTGTCCTAGGCATAGACTTCTGAACCTAGGTGCTAATATTTATCAGGCCAATATTGTGCTAGAGAATGAACATTTATAATTTTCATGTGCTTGCCTGAGCAGTCACAGGATGTCGGGCTATTATCCCTATCATAAAGTTGACATGGAAACACAAGATTGACATGGCTACTAATCCCCAAAGGCTAGGCTTAACTAGGGATATTTTTTTTATGTTTCCCTGCCTTTCAATATGTTTGCTTACTTGAACAAAGTTGGAAGGAGGGGGCTTAAAAATAAAGGAATTTGAAGTAGATTAAAAGCAGGATTAATCAACCAGCATTTCTATGCTTTGTGCTGTTAAAAGGAATATGCTTGGTAGAGAACATTAAATCATGTAGCGTATTCTGTGTTTAGTAGCACTAGATGATTTTAGTACTTAGAGATTCCCTTCTTATATAAGTGACCATAACCATTGTTCCCATCTCTGCTCTAAATCAGCTCATGCTGTGATGTCTGATGATAACACTTCTGTTTTTCAGTGGAGCTCTGAGTTTTCCTTATACAATTATACAAGAGTTCAAAAAGTAATTGATACTAGTTGAGCCTGAGAAAGTATCTGTCTCAAACACAGGATTTGCTTAGGAAATGTAACATGCTCCCATTAACTAGGAAAGTTTCTTTGCTTTATGTTGAGCCTCAGAAACCTTGAGTGTTTTATTCACTTATACAAAGGGATCCTATTTTTACCTCAGTTTGGGTCTTCCCACTTACTCTTGATTACAGCTATAACTGTCTCATCTATGAACCAGCATAGTTGAAAGTAATATTTTCTTCTTTTGTGCCACAGAAGCAGGACCTGTCTGTGCTGTTCAATCCTTCTACACTAAGCTATATAACCAGACCCAAGAGAAAATAATTTTTAAGTGACTTCAGTATACTGGCAAATTTTAGATGGTTTTTGGTCTTCAACTTGCGTTCAGAAATGCACATTTAATTTACATATTTCCAGGTGGGACTGGACATTTCTTTTTGCAGTACTAAGATTTAGTCCAGGGTCTTGTGCCCGATAGGCAAGCACTTTACTGGCACTGGATGCTTCTAATCTTCTGAGAGCCACAAAAAGATTAATAAAAGTGTGAGCTGCTTTTTCACTGTTAGGGATTTAGTTCTCCAACTTCAGATTATTAAATGTTATTTTAGTTGAGGTTCTGTATCTTTATAGACTATGTACCCCATCCTTAAACAGCTTGTTGTAAATGCTCAGCTGAGAACCCTTGGGCCTTGGAGTTTAAAGCCTACATTACTGGCTTCCCTGCCTTCCTACACAATAACTAGTAATCAGTCAACACTGTTGGTCACAGAGCCTTGGAAACACCCCACCCCTGTAGTAGTTGATTGTAGTTGCCATTAAAGATAAAACTGGTTTTCCTTCTTGGATGTCTACATATCAGAAGTTATAATGGTCTAATTCTAGGAGTTTTATTGTTCTGGGTTTTTTTTTTTTTAATTTACTTATTTGTTCATGTGTGTATACAAGTTCATGCACATGCATGGTGTTTGTGTAGAGGTCAGAAAACAACTTTGTAGAGTTGGTTATAGGTATACACCACTGCATCTAGTTTTTATAAAAAATATGAGTTCCGGGGATCAAATCCAGGTTGTCAGGCTTGTATGGCAAGTGCTTTTACCTGCTGAGTCTTCTTCCAAGCTCTAGGGATTTTTAGTTTAGAAATATTTATAAGTAATTGAAAGCAAAAAGAAAGTAGCAATATATATGCTACTAACTTCTAAAAATTTTCCTGGGTGGTAGTGGCCATGCCTTTAATCCCAGCACTTGAGAGGCAGTGGCAGGCAGATCTCTATAAGTTCAAGGCCAGCCTGATCTACAAAGCTACACAGAGACCCCTCTCGAAAAACAAAAAAGAAAAATACAGAAAATTATCCAATATTTCTTCAAGAGAAAAAAATCATAAAGTTTGATGCTATTATTCATATCTGTTAAGTTCTTGGATAAGAAGATAGGACACAAGCTGGGCATTGGTGGCACATGCCTTTAGGCCAAGCACTTGGGACACAAACAAATCTCTGTCATTTTGAGGCTAGCCTGGTCTACAGTGTGAGTTCCAGGACAGTCAGGAACAAACAGAGAGACCCTGTCTTGAAAAACCAAAGCAGCAACAAAAAAAGAAAAAAAGAAGAGAGGACACATTACATCCTAGCTTATTGACTTCATCTTTTTGGGAGTGCAGCCTGTGTCATACATTTGCCAAATGCATGGGTGCAATTCAGAGGGCAGCTTATGAGAGTTGCTTCCCTCCTTCCACCATGTGGGTCCTGGGGGTTGAACTCAGTATGTAGGGTTGGCAGCAGGTTTCTTTACCCCACCCCCCACCCACCCCCACCCACCCAAACTATCTACTAGCCCTCATCATCTTTTTATTTTGAAAACCAGGCTAGTAAGTTGCTCAGATTTGCTTTGAATCCACTGTATATCCCAGTAGAGCCTGGCCTTTTAGTTAATTCCCATATCTCATCCTCTCAAGTAGCTGGGAGTTTGTAGGCCCAGCTTCGGGTTTTAATAGAGTCATGGTATACTGCAGGTTCTGATTGACTGAAGTGGATCTGGAGCCAACAGTCTTCAGTTCTAAAAAGCTCCCATAGGTTAGGTACTGCAGGCATCTGAGCCATACTCTGAGCACAAAGTAACTTCATTTTACTCCTCTTCATTGTGCTTCTGGCTTTGCTTTGTATTCTTTCTAACAAGGTTACAAAGACTTCAGGTTTGCGACCAATGGAACCAAAAGATATCAAAGCAGTCCGAGAACTAATCAACAACTACTTGAAGCAGTTTCATCTAGCTCCAGTAATGGATGAAGAGGAAGTGGCCCACTGGTTCCTCCCCAGAGAACACATCATTGACACGTTTGTGGTGGAGGTAAACATGAGCTGATGAGATAGTCCTGAGAACAGAGTAAAGCTTCATTGAGGAGGATTACAATGTGCCCATGTCTTTCTGCCATGACTCACTGCACAGCTGCTTACAGTCTTGGACTTGAGCACTTTCACTAGTTACTAAAGGGAGGTTAGGGTGCTTTGCTTTCTTTGCTGTGCATTTGCTCTTCTCATTTTGAAAAAGCTAGTAATTAGTCTGTGCCTCATCCTAGATATCTATGTTCCTGAGTTTAATATTATTTGGACTTTTGTATATAGCTCGCTGGATCTGAACTGCCATTAGTTGGCACAGATTCAGCCCTTGAACTCTTATTCAAGGGAGGGAAGGGAAAGGAGCCGCCTAGATACTCTTGACTGTTGCCTAGATGGAAGTAACATATTTTTTCCAACCTTGTTTTACAAAGCTTGGAATTGGTTGTTCAGATGATGTCTCACTTGGAAGCTCAGTTGAAATGGGGTTCAACTGAGAAAATGGAATTTAATTTGGCAAGCAGTTTGAAGACAGCAGAGAAGAACAATTAGAAATGATTCTAGGAATTTACTTACATCACTTGTAAGCAGAACTGTTACTTAGCATTGTCAACCATTGTCAAAATTTAATATCACTTGGTAAGGAAGATCTACAAGACATTTCTAAAGAACAAGTGAGCAGGCAGTTTCAAAATTTGTATTTCTAAAATGTCCTTGTTCACAAATCTTACTGTACATATGTATCTTCAGAGACTCATAAAATGCAATCTCGGGTATTACTCCAAAGAATTACTCAGAACCCCAGAGAGCTGTACTCTGATGGAGTAGATCAGTAGCTATTTACCATACTCAATAACAACAATAGTAAAGCCGTTGTATGTTACCTAAAGAACATCCATACATGAGAACTAAGTGAAAGAATAATTTCACATTTTTAAAAATTGTTCAACCTTTCCTTGGTTTTGTTCAATTCATTGTGACATAGTACTTTGATTGAATTACATGAAGACTTGAAAATCAGTGACTAATTTAACCCTTCAGATAATTGGGTTTTTTTGTTTGTTTTTTTATGTAGCCAACTCAGGCCTGCTTTATAGCTCTGGCTGACTTTTAGATTCTTTTTTATTTTTATGTGTATGGGTGTTTTGCCTGTATGCATGTCTGTGCCTCTGGAAGGGCATCGGATCCTCTGGAACTGGGGTTACAGACTGTGAGCTTCCATATAGATGCTGGAAAGAGAACTTGGGCCTCTGGGCCTCTAGAAGAGTAGCCAGAACCATCTCTCCAGCCTCTGGCTTTAGACAGTTGAACCCCCTGCCTAAGCTTCCCGATTACTAATGTGTACTACCATACACAGTTGTTTTCAGATAATTATGAATACTGTTACCTGAAATTATCAGTGAACTTTTATTCTCTTGATCCAAAACTCATTGGTATGTTGTCCCCCACCTTTGTCCTCTTTCTTTTCTCTATGTGTCCCCTCTCCCCAGCATAGTTTTGTACACTCTGCAGATTTTCTATCACTAACTTATGTCTGGTTCTTTGAATGAATTATATTTACATAGAAGTTTGCAAAATGCATTGGCTACTTGGAAAATATTGATTTCCTGGGTTACACAGGTCTTTCAGATATTGACATTTCATTAGATAATACTTAAAAATTACATTCATGGATATGATCTTTGTCATATAAGGTAGATATGGTAGAGGATGATTGTTTTTCCTTCTTTAAAACTGTTAGGCCTTAAAACTTGGGCCTTGAAAGCTCACGTTAACAAACAAGTCTTGTTATTTTTTTCCTAAAGTAATCAGTTCTCATTCACTTCTAAGAATAAGTGCCGGATACCAAGGCTGAATGGCCATGTGCTTTGCAATGGTGTTCTATTCACCAGTGGGTAGCTAGCTCCCCATGCAGCTGTTTCCTCCTGGCAGCAGCCTGTATATGCTTCATTGTGAGTAGGGAAGGCAGCCTCTGGTTCTCAGCGTGGAGGCTGCAAATCTACTTCTATCACTGTCCTGTTGGCATGGACATTGTCTCAGCAGTCAGCCTGGAGAAACTTCCCATTAGGACTTGGCTTTGGAAGAGCTTGCGCATCTCCCACTAGCACTTTGGCTAATATCCCATCCACTTGTTGGTCTCTTCCCACAATAAAAGACTCAAACTGGGTTATAGGGAGGAAAATCTCAGTTGTTGCTCCTTGTTTGAACAAAAAGTTGGGTGTAAGTCATAGGTCAGCATCTGAATGCTTGTTAAAGGAAACACTCAACTTGCTGTTTCTTACCTCTGTTGCTCAGAGCCCCAGTGGGAAGCTGACTGATTTCCTGAGCTTCTACACGCTCCCCTCCACGGTTATGCACCACCCTGCCCACAAGAGTCTCAAGGCTGCCTATTCCTTCTACAACATTCACACAGAGACACCCCTGCTGGACCTCATGAATGATGCGCTCATTATAGCCAAGTTGGTGAGTGTTGTTGCTTTTTGTACTACTTGGTTCTCCTTAAGTAAGTCCTTACATTAAGGGCCCCTGTGAGAGCAGTATGGCTCTTAACCATGGAACCCCCTCTGTAGCCCTCTTCCCCAGCTGTCTTTATAATACAGTCTTCTAAGATGATTCTTAGTCTGTGGCTTTATATTGTAGATACTCAGCCTTAGAAGTACATATTTAAGTTACTATAGAAGAATTTAATGTTGTACAGGAATATATACACAAAGAATATGTTAAACCCTTGGTATTTTAAATTTTTTATATTGGCAGAAAGGATTTGATGTATTCAATGCACTAGATTTGATGGAAAATAAGACCTTCTTGGAAAAACTCAAGTTTGGTATAGGAGATGGCAACTTACAGTATTATTTGTACAACTGGAGGTGTCCAGGGACAGACTCAGAAAAGGTGAGTGAATGAGCTCGTTATCACAGCCCTTCCTTCAGGATAAATGGGCTTTTACCTATTTCTCTCTTCCTCTGTGTGAGAGAAAGAGATTGTAAATGGAATCAGTTAATTCAGACAGTCTTATACTACTATAGGATAAAGGGGAATTTTTATTTATTTGGTTTGTTGTTGCTGCTGTTGTTTTGTTTTTCTGTATGGGTACATACGTGCTGCAACATATATGAAGATCAGAGTCAGTCAGTAACTCTACTTCTACCAGGGTTCCAGGGACTTTTCCCTCTAAGCCAGCATCACAGCCCAGGGGGACTTGTCTAAACACAGAATAGTGTGTTGTTGTGTTAAAACTCAATTCCTCTTCCATTTGGTCTTATCTCATTGTTTTCCTTTCTTTAGGTTGGACTTGTTCTACAGTAGATGGATATGTTACTTCTAGAAGGCTGACATTCTCATTTGTTAATATTCTATTTAGTGAGTCCTGGAACTGCCATTCCAAAGAAGAATAAAAGCACAAGTTGAGTGAAATTGAAATAGTCTATAACAATCAGAACAGATGGCCAATAGTACACACTTCCAGTTAGGATGTTGAGAGCCAATCTCTGCTGTTGACTGATGTGTGGGAGGGATGAAAGTATTCACAGAGCTCTCATGGTATAGAGAGATGTTGTCCTTCCACTCTAAAAGTGGAACTGTTTCTCTGTGAACCAAACAGAAATGGTGGCATCATGTTAAGAAAAACCTTTGCTGTTAGGAGGAGAGTCACTGCTGCTTTTCTGTTTAAGTGGTGATATACTTGTATTACAGAACAAGGATCCATATGTATATCACCTTACATGATGCCACTGAGAATGTTTATAAAATTGACATGTGGTAGATAATTATGTATGGAGCAATATGAAAATGTACCAGTGACTTAGCACATTTATTCCATAAGCATAGTAGCCAAATCAGCAACCACACAGGTCTATTGCATAAGCATAGTAGCCAAATCAGTAAATAACACAGGTTTGTCCTTTGCGCTTCAGCAGATCAGACTGTTTCAAAAGCAAAGTTAGGGGCAAATGTTGAGCATGCTCACTGAAGAGTACACACCTAACTGACCAGACCTTGCGACTGCTTGCAGTCTTCATTTCTCAGCAATGTTAAGGATGTGTAAGGGGAAGGAAGTAAAAGCTCTAAGGTCAGATTAAATGCCCAGAGGAGTGTGTAGTAGTGCTGTCAGCACACAGATGGTCTGAATGTTTTTATTATGCAAAATTGCACATGTTCCTTTACGCTGACTTTAATTTATCATGAAAATTGTCATGCTAATGGAAAATGTCTTACTTGTAAATAAGTATTCATAATTTTGTTACTGATGTTGTTTTTACCTAGATTTTGAAAAACAAAAGTTTCACAGTGTACATATGTGTATATGCTGCCACTAATCCAAGGGAAAATAAAATAATAAACAAGGCCATTGTATAGACTGGCCTTCGAGTCAGAGGCCACCAAGTACATACTTCTTCCTGCCTTTACTACAGTGCCTCTGCTCCAGTCCAGAACACCTACTTCAGACAGTGTAGCATTTTCTTCTCACTAGACAGGACTCAACCAAATGTTACCTTTAGGGCACGTCTCACTGTTGGCTGTTCTAGACAGCATATGAGCTGAGAATGGCCATTATTATTTTGAATGGTTGGGGGAAATGGCCCAAACAGAATACAGCCACATCTTCACATATGGCCTGCCTGTGGCTGAATCATGCTACAAGGGGAAATAAAGTAGTTGTGACAAACTGGACTGTATTGCCTGCAAAGTTAAAGTATTTGCTGTCTGGCCTCTTAATGGTGTTTGTGGACTGAGGTCCTAAGAAGTAGGCCACAAATTGTGCCATCCCTGATAGCACCTGGGCCTCACAGGTGTGCAGAAGTGGGAACAGTTCTGTTCCGAAAGACACAGCAGATTTCTCATCTCATACGGTCCATGCCCAACAGAGTCACGTTTTTAACAGAGCACCTTCAGGAAGTAAAACTACCTATTCATTGAAACACCATTTAGAAAGACTGCATTAGGTCAGCAAGTTTAGTGAATCTGGATTTACAGCTCTTTGGGAATTGTCTCACTCATTTTTTATGTCTAATACAAATTGAGTTTTCAGGTCAGTCATGAATTTTTTCATGGGCTTATTTACCTCATGAGGAAACTTAAACGATCCTTTTAGAGATTTGTTTACTGCACATTGCAGTTGTTAAAAAACTATCACTTTAAGTATACTAATAGTTAACATTGGTATATCCATAATATAAGCACATGACCAATCGATATTTTAGAAAATCACTAACCAGTACAACTGCTCAGATATAAAATAGCTGTTAAAACCAAATATAAATGCAACAGTCTCCGGAGTTTTTTTTAAGTTACACTGCCCTATCTCTATATTCAAAATGTGCTATAAGGTTTCTTTCCTTCAAAAAATAGAAATTAGTCAGCAAATGGAACAAAGGTGGCACAGCCCATGAGTTCAAGCAGAACTTGGGAGAAAAGGTTTCAATATCACGTTTACTTCCTCCTAAATGACAGAATGATTGTCCAGAGACATGGAAGATTCATATCCAAAGCACTGACTACTCCATTTTCTAGTCTGCAAGACCCATTGGATCTCTCCTCTTGCCACATTTCACCTAAGTTACTACTGTAGTTACTTTTTGTTGTTAGTCTTGTTTTGTTGTTTGTTGCTTGTTTTGGTGCTGGGGATCAAGCCGGGGATTGTGTGTGCTAATAAGTACATGTTCTACCACAGAGCTATACCCCCAATGTACTTTTGATAGATGTTAAATATTGCAAGGAAATTATGTGCAGGGAGGGAATTCTTAATAACCTTATCAGGCTTTTTTTTTTTTTTTTTTTTTTTTTTTTTTCTGTATTAAACAAGCCTTTCTCCAAGCCTGTGTCAATGCTTACCTACAAAGAAAGCCAAATTACCACCAAGTAAAAATGGTATGCTGCTTTTGAAAACAGTGTACTGCTTAGCATTTAGTGTCTCTCCCTTACAACTGAGGATCTCCAGTTTCAGCCACCTTACTAGACCAGCCTGTGCCCCATTTTCCAAGTTTGGTAGAGAAATGTAAGTGCTGTAGGAAACTGATGTTCTTGCAAGCAAGCGTTGTACGAGCCTATAAAGCAGTGAATTTATACACGCATGGACGTTAGTCTCAATAAACTTTGATTTTGTTAATCATTGTATTTTCTGTACTTAATGTTTTAAGTTTTTAAGGTTCAGCGTTATGTGTCTCACCCAGTTAGAAAGACTTGCCATATCTGAAAGAACACCTCCATGCAGGATTCTAAGAATATATGAAAACATACTTTATTTCCTTTCATGAAATGACAAGTTCATAGAAAACTACTTTGAAATGGATTTTTTACTTTTGGGTGGTTTCCTTATCTTATGAGGGTTGGGAATGAGTTTCTTTATTTTAAGGGGTTGTAGTGTTGTAGCGGAAGCCTGCTCACTTTCAGCAAGCCTCTTACTGACTTTTGTAACCTCATCAAATGAGGTGTCCAGTATCTCTTTGTCCTGGCTTTCCAAAGATTCTGTCTCTAAAATGTCTTTGGGATCTTGGGTTCTGTCTTGAAGCCATGGCACATTTAAGCTGGGCACTCTGGGAATGATAGCTTTTACTTCCTCAGCGAAGTCCAAGGTATTCTTTCTGAAGCCTAAGGCTAACATACATTTTAAGCCAATAACAGGAGCAATTCTCTCACTGAGCTGAGGAACCTGACAAGCAGGAACTGTTCTGCTTATACTCAGCTGAATCATGTGTGAGGTAATGACAGCAGGCTTGACTGACTTACACACTAGAACCAGGAGCAGTTCATTCCTCTCCAGGGCTCTGGTGACTTCATTAACACCAATGACCAGCTGTTTTCTGACATGCACAGGTGTCCACCCTGAGACCTGCACATTCCCATCATGCTCCTTCTCTTTCAGACCTTCACTAATCTCAACATCTGAGCTGCATCTTTGCTTTTTTACAAAAGGTGGCTTTTTCTTTTTATCTTCAATTTTCTGAAGTCCAACTGATTTAAATTTATCTTCGAGGGTCTGTAATATAAAGTGTATGTCCTCTCTCTCCAGGGTGTTCCAGGAAATGACATACGGGTTGTTCAGTGATGTCTTTACAACCAGAGGTCTAGTCTTCCTAATAGATCCCCTCTTTGGTGCTTGAGGGGCTGCAGCCATCTTGAAAACCCTTCAGAAAGAAACATTATCTCATGTTAGTAATGCATGCTCTGAGGATATTGGTTATATTCCAGTAATTTTTGTTTTTTACTACAGATTGATAGCTATAGCAAGTCTAATTGTATAGGCCTAACTAGGTAGCCATGCATATAACTTCTCTGGTAAAATGAAGTAGTTTTAGTTTTCCCTATTTTTTTCCATCATACACAGACAATGTGAGAATGACTGGTGTTATGCTTGGAGATTTGTTAGCATCTTCTAAACTCTAATTAGACTTCCAATCATTCATTTTAAAAAATTAAGTTACTGGGGTTGGGGATCACATCACAGAGCACCAGGGAGGTCAGAGGGGACAGCTCAATCAAAGTGGGTTCTCTCCTTCCACCATGGTGACTCGCCTAGTGGTAAATGTCTTATTCTCTGAACACTCTCAAGGGCCCCTCATTTATTCACTTATCAACCCATATTCACTGAGCTCCAGTGGGCAGATGGTGTTCTATGCACAGCTGCTGGTGGGCAACAAGACCCCGTGTCTGCCCACACAGAGCTTATGTGTAGTCTCTGAAATGCATAACTAACCAGATCAGGCTTTAAAAACCAAAAATAATATGTGTCCATGGCAAAAACTCCTATTCTGTATCCCTTTGTAAGTCTCCTTCAATGATCCCCAGGTCCTAAAACGTTTGAAACATACAGGCTCATATTTTTTCCTTCACATGATTACAAGGTAACTGCTTTGGCAGGCAATTTCATGAAAACTAGGAAAATTTTGTTATGAAATTCAGAGATTCATCCATAAGGGAGAAATAAAAGGGCTGGGCTCCTTCTGAAAGTATATTAGAAGCCATTGGCCTATTCACTGTATGGGTGTGCTATTAACCTTACAGACTCGCTAGGATATTCTCCATTGCTGTCTAATTGTGCATTTATTCATTTAGATCAGGCCTGTCCTTTTCGAAGGCAACTGCATAGTTACTTCTCTCAGTTATTTTCTCCTTCCTAGAACTCATCTGAGAAGTATAAAGACCCAGTTGACAAATAAGCAAGTTCCCTCTGATTAATTAAGGTTCCTCCAATTCAGGGCACTTTCCCCTCATACCCAATCCCCTAACATGCCTGTAGGGCTTCTAGGTGTATGGGTTAGGAAGCAGATGTGGCTCCATCTTAGAAATAACCTGTAGCTTTTAAGAACATACAGATAGCTGGTTCTCACCATAGAGCTACTGAGCTGTGGGAGTGTAGCCAAGCCGCCAGATGAATCAGAAAAAGAACCAGCATTTGGATATGTTGGTGTGGGACAGGCTGGCTTTCCAAACTGGACAGTCTTAAGGAATGGTGTTGCGGACTCACTCTGAGATCCTGATCCTTCTAGTCCCTTTCCACATAAAGCCAGAATTCCTCCCAGTGAGAGCTGCAAACCTGGTCCTATCAATGCTGCTCACTGCTACAGACATCGTCTATTTATTAATGCTTCCTTCCCAACACTGCACTGCACTCTCCCAATTGATCGCTTATTAGCTCTCTTTCCCCACAGGCTGAGATTGAAAAACAGAAGGCTATCCAAATCTAGTAAGGTGACTGCCAGAAGGCACTGGTACCTGGCTGTAAGTGCCCAGACAAAATGACCAGAGAGCAAGATAGCAGCCCCACCATAGTTCTTACCAAATGGCAAATCAGTGTAAGAGGGACACTCACACTTAGATGTTCTGCAACCAAGGGACAGCAAGATTGGGATCACTTCTCTGATAGGCAGAACCTGGAAAGAAAGATGAAAAAAGTCAAGTCTGCATAAGGTGACCGCTATGCAATATGAAAAAAATGCTGATTAGTTAAGAACAGCTTTGCAGACAGAAAAACAGGGTGGACATGCTGAGTGCCTTGCCATCTCTTGTCTGCAAGCTGCTACTACCTACAGATCAACTGGAAACTCAAAGGTTTAGCTTTTACCCTCCCATTTCTCACAAGCCTTTCACCTTTTAGCCACCACGCCTATTGTAGACTCGGGCTATTTAATGAAGCCTCTGATTTCTCATGTTCTTTATTCACCATATACCCTGCCTAGGATACTATTCACATAGCACATATCTCTTCATCAACTTCTAATGGATTATCCTTGATGCCCTGGGCCATTAAGGTGTTGTGCAAAGCGAAAGCCTCTGCGGGTAATAGAAACGTCTCAATTTAAAGCCAGAGTAGTGAGGTACCTTAGGGAGCAGACTGGAGTAGCCTTAGCTGAGAGGGTCAGGAAAAGAAGGCTCTCTGGGGGAAATGGATGCTATCTAAAGAATTCCTTCCAAACGAAGTAAGAAGGGGGCAGCGGGGTATCCCGGAAGAATATTAAAGCAAGTTCGGTGTCGCTGGGACAGAGATGCTGGACAAGATGGTGGCTCTGGAGAGTCTTGCAGTGGAGTGGCGGGAATAGAAAGGTCACAGAAAGACCACGATCTGGGAAGGGGCCTTGGAAAGGCTGCCAGCAGCAGAGAAGCTCCCATGGTCTCGGGAGGTGCAGGGGTACCCACGTTTCGCCACGCGAAGGAAACCCCCGCCTGGCGGGAGACTGAGAACGGCCACAACGGGGCTTCAGGAGACCTGGCGCCGGGTGATCGCAGAAGCGTCTTCGGCTCCTTTCCCACCGCTCCGCAGTGACGGGTGCCCACGGGCTTGGGACTCGGACGACAGGCGCGCGCCCACCGCTGCAGAAGCGCGGCCTGCGGAGACCACAGGACTGCGACTCCGCCGTCCCTGAGGCCCGAGCGCCGGCTCCACGTGCGCCTGCGCAGCCTGACCGCCTGCCTTCTGCATTGCGTCACACCTGGTGAGGGACTTAAACCACAGCTTGCGACAGCGGGAGGTCCCTGGGTAAAATCCCTAAGCGCAGCGCGGAACTCTGGAGCAGCACTGCGCAGGCGTATGATTTGTCTCGCGAGAGCCTGTGGTTGCTGTAGTAACCAGCCGCTATCGGTCTCCACTGGTGGAGTAAAGGCGGTGTAACAACCAGTTCCTGGGTCCTGGTTCGTGGAAGGCTTTGTCTCGTTTCGGCTTTACCGTAGTTACTTCTGCCCTGGAATTCTGGCCCGCAGTCTTTCCGTTCTAGAATCACAAAATTCCAGCCATTCACTCTCTGCACATGTCCTTGCGCCACGAAAATCAAATAAATAGGTGTTATAGAGTTGGATGTAATTACAATTATGATGGAGAATTTTGAGCCAACTCAAAGAGAAATAAGGGCAGCTTTCAATTCCACAGCAGTACTCCAGAATATTCCAGCAATATCTGTTTTGCCTGCTGCACCAATGGAGACTAAAAATGGTTATGAAACCAGGCGGTGGTGCACGCCTTTAATCCCAGCACCTGTGAGGCAGAGGCAGAAGAATCTCTTAGTTTGAAGCCAGTCTAGTTTACAGAGTGAGTTCCAGAGCATCTAGGACTACACAAAGAAACCCTCTTTCGAAAAACCAAAAGAGAAAAGAAAAGAAAAAGAAAAGAAAAATTGTTTGTGATCAGGATCACTGGAGAGTTATGGACAACTGGCGAAACAGTGGGGTAATGTGACAAAGACTAAAACCTAAGTCTGTTGGCTGCATTTGACAAAATGTTTTTTTTTTTTTTTTTTTTTTTTATCTTTTCTGTCCCTTTCTAACTAATTTAGGTGGACTTAGGTCCTTCTCAGTGTCTTCACTGCTGATTTTAAATTCTAAAATTCAGAGTCTAGAATTTTCATTATTCACCACCTATTGCACATAAATTAAACACAAGCAGATTAACAAGAATGAAGTCAGCACAATAACTTGCAGTCATGTGGCGATAAAGACAAATTGTGATAGTCGAATTGAAATACTAAAGGTTCATATAAAACCCTGGCCCTTGGGAGACTGAGTCGGGAGGATGTAGTTCAAGGTCAGCTTGGACTGCTTGCTTACTTAGTTCTAGGCGACCAACCTCAGCTACAGCATGCGCGCGCGCACACACACACACACACACACACACACACACACACACACACACACACACACACACACACACGGAAGAAAGAGACCGGGAAAAATGAGAGGCAAGAGGTGGGGAGAGAGAGAAGTTAAAAGGTAAGCGGAAAAGAAGACAATGGCTGTGTGTATTATCCCACTAAAGTTCCAGACATAAAGTTTACCCATGACCTGACCTTTCACATAATCATTTTTCCAGCTCCTACATTACAAGGCTTTGGAGTCAGGTTGCTAAGTTGGAACCCTAACCTTACCACTAACAAGTGTACCTATGCCCTGGGCAAGTTATGAAATGATAAAGATAGCATCTATTCTGAGGATTAGAAGAGAGTTGTGTGTAAGATGCTTACCACAGTGCCTGCCACATAGTAAGTGCCAGACAAACTGAACCGTGATGGCCCAGTGACATATGCGGCAGAATTAGGTTAGTAAAACTTAAATTTTAGTTATTGTTTTCTGTTCGAAGGCTAGCATTATTTCCACAAGAATTTTACCAAAGACAACATTCTGTATCTCAAAGGCAATTTATTATTACATTTGTGTGACACAAACATTTTAACAAAAAAAAAAAAGGTTATTTAAAAATCATCTGAGGTAATGCAGTCACCCCCACGTTTTTGTTCAGTCATTTACTAACATATTTACAAAACCCCAATAATATCAATTCAGCTAATGTTTAGATTTTTTTGTACAAACATTTTCTAATATGTCTCAAACAATTCTATAAATGTTTTCCAGTAAACTTCCTGTAGTTTCCTTAATTACTATATATTTGACATTCTTTATCTGATGGTCAATTTTACTTTTCAGTGATAACTGTTATTTTAAAATAATAGTTGTTTAATAACTTAAGTTTATAGAAGTTTTCTTTTTGTACTAATTCTTGAACTGTTAGATAAAGGTCACAACAAGATAACATTAGTTTAAGATTCTAGGTAAGAAATTGTAGCATTGGAGCTGACAAAAAGTTTGTCAATAAATATTGCACAATAATTGAACATCAGCTTTTCTTTTCTTCCATGGAATTCTAACCTTTGTTCTGAATTTGTGTGCTATTGTGGTTTTGTGGATTCTGCAAAGATAGCTGTTAATAACAATTATTTTATTTCCAGTTTAGTATTAGAGTGTAATTAATTGTCTAAAATACTGGTTTCAGCCAGGCAGTGGTGGTACACACTCCCAGCACTCCAGAGAGCAGAGAGAGAGAGGCAGGTCTCTGTGAGTTCAAGGCTAGCCTGGTCTACAGAGCTAGATCCAGGACAGCTAGGGCTGTTACACAGGGAAACCCTGTTACACAGAAAAACCAAAAGTAAAATAAAATAATGGTTTCATTATATATTTTCCTGCATGTCTACAATCAGACCAATATTTAAAATCCCTTAACTGAGAATGGACTTCAATTTTGAGCTGCCAAATCACAGAACAGACTTCAAGTCTGTGCTATTCGAAGGTCCACTAGACACCCCCAGTGAATTATGTGTCCATGACAGCAATGTGAATGGGAGGTGTCTCAAGCATGTGGGCTATTCCCAGGCAACAATACGGTAATAGTACCACCCTTCCATAGATCAGGCCAGTAGAGAAAAGGCACCTGATTAGACTCAGACCATTTGTTTATACTCATGTAAACACAGAACAACAGGATGTCAGTTCCCTGTTCCTCAAATTCCCTGGGACAATATCCTTAAGCCCTGAGGTCAAATAATAGGCATTATGTATATTCGGCCTTTGTTAAAGAGCCAACTCCGAACTTTTGCAAACAGTGCTATATATAGTCTTAACACAGGAACCCACTACACCCAAAGGTAGAATGGGAAGGCCAGGGAGAAACATCCATAGGCTCAATTGAATTTAGAGGAATGGATGAATGACATCCTTGAAGAGTCTTGCAAGGCTCTGGCATCCCAATGGAGGACTACAGCTCAGAAAGGGGATCTTGAACACTCTATGGATGCCTATCATCCCAACACTTGGGAAACTGAAGCAGGAGGATCACAAGATGGAGGCCAGCCTGAGGCTGAATGAATTCAAGAACGACTTGGGACATATGAGACTCCATCTTAAACACAATAAACTTTCAAGAATAAAAGAGAGCAATGTGGCTTGCCTTTGCTAATTTCTTATAACGACTATTGTGTCAAAAGGTCTCAGCTGATGCAGATGAACACTTTCAGCAGCCACTACTAAACTATCAGAAAACCTCACTGTTCTGAAACTAACCTTTGCCCTAGGATCCCATCATGCTCGTCCCATTTCCAAAACCACATGCTGCCCAGACGCTGCTCCAAAATTGCCTTTTGTCCTGTAGTTAGGAATTGATTAATATCACCACCAAAAAAAAAAAAAAAAAAGTAGCAAATATTTTCTAACATACAGTTTACACAAAACCAAGTTAGAAAGTTTTGGGGCTTTTTTCATCACAAGCTGCATTGCTCTATGTTCAATTTCAGACTCTCTAAATACAGTGTGCTAAATACTTCTCCACAACTCTGTTTTAATCAGTCAGAAATTCTTCTCCGGAACTGGAAACTTTGTCCAGTTCTCCGTAAGTGTAGCAAAAAAAAAAAAAAAAAAAAAAAAAAAAAAAAAAGAGGTTCACAGCTTGCTTTTGAGACCCTGCAGACTCCAGGTGATGGTGAATTTGCAGCCGGACAGACCTAGGTTCCACTAAACAGGCTGTACATAAATGCTGGCGGGAATGAGTGCAGATTGACCTTAGAATTTATGCCTTTGGTTTCTTAAGACAAGGTTCACACGCTCCTGGTCCGCTTTCACTCCTGGTGAGTTCCCTTGGTGGCACTTGAGAGGCCCCAGTAATGGCTATGTCCCACCCAGACTTCTAGAATCAGAAAAAGGATCAAGGACTCGCAGGTGAAGCCCAAGCTGTCCTTACAGTTATAAGAATAAAAGCTGGAGAAGGGACGGGTGTGGTGGTGAGTGGTCCCGAGTGAGGATCCCAAGGGAAGGGACCATGTGGGAGAGCATAGCAGGTTCCATAGCAGGTGAGGGTGACCGAGGCGGGAGAGAATAACACACCAGGCAGATAGAGCGTGAAGGAAGAGTTTATGTAAAAAGGGTAGTGAGGGAGAAGGGAAGAGACATAGAGGCACCAGGAACAGAAGAGAAAGGGGGAGGGGGGGAGAGAAGAAGAAGGGAGTAGCTGGTGGCCAATCGAAAGCAGGAGATAGAGAGCAAAAACAGAGAAAGCAAAAGAGAGCTTAAGTGGGCAGGGGTCTGTCTTTTAAAGGCGTCCTTTGCACCTGCCTACAGACTAGTACTCATGGAACCCTGGGCTGAGAGTACTGCTGAGTGCATTCTGCCAGGTGGCAGGGGCAGGCCAGCATAATGCCTGAACCTTTAATCCTTACACAAGTCCCTGGGAAACCTCTCTTAGTTTCCTGAAAACAACCTCGAGACGATAGAAGAGAGAAAGAGGGAGGGGGGAGGGAAGAGGGGAGGGGGGAAGAGAGAGAGAGAGAGAGGGAGGGAGGGAGGGAGGGAGGGAGGGAGGGAGGGGGAGAGAGAGAGAGAGAGAGAGAGAGAGAGAGAGAGAGAGAGAGAGAGAGAGAGAGAGAAAGAGAGAGAGCGCAGAGAGGTAATCTAGCAAACCCCTCCCAGGCAAGGACTCTGAGAGACTGGGCGGGTACAGGCCCAAAGCGCAACCTATAGGAGAGTCCGGAGGA